GACTAAAGAAATATTTGAAATACAAGTAAATTATATGTTTGTATGAATACTTTAACGGAAAAACCCGAAAATCCGAAAAACCCAAAAAAATTCGAAAAAACCCGAGGTTAAAAAATCCAAGTTTAATTGGTTTGATTTGGTTTATAGATTTAAAAATCCGACACAACTAATTTGGTTTGATATTAGAAAAATCCGAATTAACCCAGCCATGTACACCCTATAGTAAACGTAGGCTTACAGATTTAATTAGATAAATATATTATTAATATGGGACAAGAACCCCACATTAAACTTTTATTTTGGAAGCATTGATAATAGTTCTTCTTTGCAGTCAATACTTTCTCGGGGCACCAAGTGACCATTTTGCTGTGCTCATTATGTTATGTCAACAGTTTTTGTGTTTTTGGGACCTACGTGAACCTAAATTAAAAAAGTTTCAAAAGTTGGAGGAAAAAAAACAGTGTTGTTGGATTTGCATCTCAAGTTTAATATATGTAACATAATTTGAAATGATACAAATTTATGTAACGTGTAAATAATAGAAAATTAGTGTGATTATGATCTTAAATATGTCATAATTACTTCACTATATGTGTGATTGACAAATGAGTCACTCATAAACATATTGCAAATTACATCTCGACTAACTTTATTCTTTATTAATCCGATTTATTCAGATTCATAGATATATAAGTCCTATCAAACACAATTTATCCGATTTATTCGTATGCTCTAATTTGGTCTTGTATAATTATGGGCCACCTAGGTCAAGCTAAAGTTTGATGGTTTTTTATTTATTCTTGTATAATTAGGTGTTCGATATTTATATTGGAGTTTAATTAATCTGAATTCACACTAGGTAGAGCTCCATTCGGGTGTAGGCGTGTAGGCTCCCTAGCAATAATTTTTCCATATTCAGAATTTAAATCTAAAATCTTTAATTAAAAAAGAAACAATCTTATTCACAACAACACATTTGTTACCGTAAAGTTGATGAATTTAGGAGTGAGGCATTCTCTTTAGACACAAAAGGGTCACATGCATAACTATAGGCTCCATCGACTTGACTAGAATATGATGGATACAAAAAAAAAGATGAATCCCCACCCACATACATAATTCATTATTTTATAGCATAAATCAAGGGAAAAAGTCTATATACATAGGCGTGGGTATAGGTGCCGGTGGTGGTGGGGTTCCACTCCCCGGCGCTTCTATCGCTTTTCATGCCTATTTTAAGATAGTGTTTTTTTCCCCACCTAATGGCATAACAGACAAATCCCTTAATTAGGTGCCGTTTGGCATAAAGATAATTGTAGACATTGAAAATTTATGAGATTTTACAAAATATATTCAATTTTAGTTGGGACTCTGTAAAAAGTATTCGATTCTAGTTAGATTGTTTGGACGTTACTCTAATCATAAACCCTAGTTTATGTTTATATAAAGAGTATTATATTCCATTAAAGAGACATCTCAAAAATTCCATCACAAATTCATGGAATATTCATAAAGAGATCGAAATCTTGAATATTCTGCAAATTGATAGAACATTCACAAAGATCAATGGAGATCAAATATATATCCTAATTTGAGAAATACACCACTAATGACCCTTGAATCAGGAACAAACAAATTTGTATCCATATTTATCAATAAAATATTCATGTTTCTTCATATTTTTTCGTGATTACAATTTATTTTCTATCACTATAAAATATATTGCAAACAAATAATATCGTGTTTAATTGAGATATATAAATAAGTAATTTCAACAAAAAAAAATTGCATATATAATAATGATTCCCTTCATCTCAAATTAATCGTTGTGTTACATTTATCGAAAGACAAACTATATAAACCTCGCCAAACATTAGTCATATGCATCTTTTTTGCATTTGTAGTGTTGCTTGGCTTAAAAGATTTACTTCCTTTTAGAGCCTCAAATTTCAAGAATTTGTAGTGGGAGGACATACTTGAATGCCAAGACAAGCATTGATCAGGACATTTTTACCCCTACCTTCTACATATATCACACACTTTTTTTTTGGTCAATTTGGAAAAGTTTAATGTAAACAGAAGATTTTAAAAGTTATATTAGTATAGAATTTAGTATTTCACAAGTTTGAGCTTTAGCTGATATAAAATTAGAAAACATTACAAGCAAACTTTCATGTTACTTTTGAATGATGGGTGTATAAGTTAGAAAACCAAAAAAGATAATAAGAAATAATTAAAGGATATCTTATTCTAAAAAGAAAAAAGCTCACTAGAGAACTATTGGATAATTTAACAAATACTCCATATAGGTTTGTTTACAACTATTAAAATCTAGGTCCCTCAAGGGACAATCCAATTGTCAAATTCAACAATTTAAAATGAAAGATCATGAACTTGAACCATAATTGATGAGTGTTTGTTTTTTTTAAAAAAAATAAAATCAATCACGTAAAAGAAGAAAGGAAAAGAAATTAGTACAATATATTTGTCCTTGGGGCCTTGCACATGATCTTGGCCAACCAAGAGCAACCCAGCTACCTGATTTGTATTATCATGAAATAAACAAATTGGACCAGCAAAATAATCAGAATAGTAGTTTATGTACTCACTAGTACATTATTATTAAAATCATAATGTCAAAATGGATTGTGGTGGAGTGGATGTATTACCTTATTTTTAATTTAATGTCTCAGATTCGAGCTTTCAGAATTGAGAAGAAATCACTTTTGATCAGATTCGAGCTTTCGGGATCGGGAAAAAATCACTTTTGATCAGATTCAAGCTTTCAGGATCGAAAAGAAATCACTTTTGATAGGAAATGTTTAAGCCTTAAAATAGAATTTTTTAAACGTGAATTCAAATTAGTTGAGCATAGATGAATATACTAGCGAAAACCCAGTATAAATAATTCATAATTAACCTTTGCAAAAGGTGAAAAATATTTAAGAATATGATTGTCCTTTTGAGCCAAGGGTCTATCAAAAATAACCCCGCTCCACCTCTTAAAGTAGAAATAAGGTCTGTGTACACACAGTCATTCGCAGATTCCACTTATGAAATTATATCGGCTATGTTTATGTTGTTATTGTTTTTGTATGATTGTCCCTTTACCTTTTGTATAGCTATTTATTAAACACATATTAAAATGGGAATTTTGAAAGGATAGTGAGCGGCGCCAAAAAATATTTAAGGAAAAACTCACAAAATTTCTTGAAAGATCTAAAGATAAAGTAACATGCTTTTATTGATTATATATTATATATATATATATATATATATGAACATTAGGTAAAAGGTGTTGTCATTTGAATGGAACTAGGAAAAGTATTTGAAACTTCAAACAAATAAATGAATTATCATCTTGAAAGAAAACCACTATGCACATGTTCTTGCTGGGTGAAAGTGACCTTACAGTTTTAAATTTTCACCAAAAAACAAATAATCAACTACTTAGTTCACAATGCCAAATTAATCAAATTATTTATACAATCTTCCGTATACGTTTCACTTTTAAATAATCCACTACAGTATGATAATGCAACTTTCCATGTATTGAAGCTTAGAAAAATTACTCTTCGAGTTCAGAAAGTTATATGATAACAACAATAACATATTCAGTGTAATTTTACAGATGAGGGTTTGGAGAGGATAGAATGTATACAACCTTATCTATCTCATGAAGGCAAAAAGATTATTTTCGAAAGACCTTCGACCGAAAGAGTTTTAAAAAGATTCTCTAAATTCTAAAATACAAAGACACGCTTATTTCAATGATATGTCCTTTATCTCTTTTCAAGCATATCTAGTAAAATATACCAACTCTCAAATCTCAATCAAATGAGAAGTAAAACAGGATTAAACAAATATAAACGTGATTACCTGATTTTTTAAATACTGGGATGATCCCTGATTGGCTTGTATAATAATAACATGAATATTTTAAGTACTTTTTTTTTTATTAAGTAAGTGATACTTGCATCGTATTTTGTTGACAAATGATACACAAGAATTCAAGCTAGATTTCTTTTTTGGGATTTTACAAATATAGTTGGAAACATCATGAAGGTTTCCTAATTGCTAGGAGGGGAAAAAGGGGTTAGAAATTTGTTGAAACGTCAATTGCTAACTCAATTTAATATGTATATATATTAGCAATTAATAATAATTGAGTGATAATACAAGTTAGATACGGCCCCATAATTAAGATTGTGAGAACAAAAAAATATCACAATCATGTATTATATTTATACATATATGCACATCAAGTTGATTCATTCAAACATCTTTAGCAACTCAACTAATTTTTGTTTGATTAATAAATACATAAAGCAACTCATCTAATCTATAGATAATTATTCAATTTATTTCCCCTTTAAAGAATTCCAGTCCAATCTTAAATACGTTGGAGTTGAATCCATTGAATTTATAGTAGTCAAATCAATCAAGGAAGATTTATAATACATGTACACTCACACTCAATGAATACAATGTGTGTGTTTGTGTATGTATACAATGAATATACATGCAACATGTAGTGGTCAAGTCGGAATTTTCACTAAGGGATTTAAATCATAAAGAAGTAAAACACACGAAAAAACAAAATGGATTAAGCATCTACTATATATTCCGACAAAGGGAATTCAGATGACCCCCTTGCGTTCTTTCAATAAAGAACTCGACTGAGATACAAAGAAGAAAAATGACACGTACTACAGGAGCTGGATGTTTATGGCATGAAAGGAAGAATTTTTTTCATTTTTTCTTATAGCTGTGGTGTCAGGGTCAGCTTTCACACACCTCGACTAATTCCACGGAATACCTGTCACCTCCCACAAGCAACATGTACCAGCTGATAACTCTGTCTACTAAGGCTAGAACATGTGGAAGAATCTTTTGTATGCTCTTTCAACTATATAAGGGAAGAATAGTACTAAACAAACTTAGGAAGATAAAATGAAAAAAAAAAGGGATCAAAACAAATTGTAGTATTATATGAAGGAAATTAAATCACTTTCTATACAAGAAAAAAAATAATGAACCATACATTAGTTCTTTAAGACACAAGTGATAGAATCCAGTTGCCAACTCTTTAATTAATCATATTGGAAGCAACTGGTATTAACACTATACAAGTTGCTTGGCCCATGAAAACTAATAACAATGGATAGAGACTAATCAGCCCAAATAACAATCCCAATAAGTATTCTCACAAGAAAAAGAGGCACATCCTGCAAACAACACAAAGAAAAACAAAAAACATACTCTGCATATTACAACTTAGCAAGAAAAGGAAAAAAATAAGGCAATATACTATAAAAATTTTGCTTCCAAATTCTAAGTTTTCCACCTTATCCATAGTGCAATTACATCCCATAATAGCAATCAGGAAGAATGCAGTTGATAATGGCAGAAGAGAAATCTATATTAGGACGGTATCAGCCAAACGTTATAACGATTGTAGTCCAAACGAATTAAATTGCATTAGATGATTAAGTTTTTTATCTTCACTGTTTCTACAGCGCGGGTTGAATAAGACAACAAAATAAAATACACGTTACATGTGCTTACATGTTGAAGTGCAGTTCTATTTGTTTGTATCATCCATGAACTCTAATCCAATGCAAAAGTGCTTCAATATAACTCCCAACTGGTTCTTCTCTTGGTCTCATCAGCTCCTATATTAAAAAACAAATCGATTTACAGGTTAGTATTTCGTATAAACAAAAGCTGGCCTTTATTTATAAGCAAGGGTGTAACTTACACTCGAAAGTTGCCCAACGAGATGGAGGCACAATAGTGCGATCTTGGTTTCCTTCTGGGGCATAGAGCAAACTGAAGAGATCTTGCGTATCTTCTTTGTGCTTCACGGATGGAGCACTCATGAGACCATTTTTTGGAGGTAAATTAAGAAATTCATCCATCGTGTCCAAAGAAACCTGATAAAATGAAATGCTATTCTGAGCCATGCTTGACAATGAAATTACGCGTCCAGGCAAAAAAATGTAGTCTATATTTGGCTATACGACTAACCAAACAGCATAGCACATAATAAAGAGATTGTTGTGAACAAAACTATATTTAGAAGTATTCAAAGGCATAGTAGAAACATGTAAACATAGTACAATATGTGCATTACCCCACGAGATCTTGTCGTTGTAGGAACTTGTGGAGGTTGTATACTAAAAACATCCTCCTCCAAGGAATATTTTCTTGCTTTTCTTGGAACATCAGCTTTTCCTCCAAAATCACTTGTTTCACCAATCATATCAGATAGTCCTGGTTGAGGATTATATCTGGAAGCCCATTTTTTATCCTGATACCTGGAGTCACAATAAAATTTATGCAAAGGGAACTATTATATAGCTTGTGAATGCATAAAATAAGTTTTTATGCTGAATTACTTGGTTCGGATAAATTTCCCAATGTCGCTTCTATCTACACTTGCTGATAGATCTGCCTCCCAATAATTGTTCGACTTCTCATTACCTACACCTGCACAACAAAACATGAAACAGAACATCAAAGGCAAATGGAATATCTTCAAGATAATTACTGTGTTTCTTATGTCTTGCGTTGTTAAGATTCTAAGGAAAAGTTAAAAACTGGAGAATACTAGTACTCTGGAAAAAATAGTAGCTCGCCCCCCACCCCGACAAAGCACATGACATAAAATAGATAGAATGCCATGTAAATTAGGAAGAGGAAGTCTCTCTTTTCCATATGATTCATTTAGATGAAGTAGTGACAATCTTCAGGGCTCATGAATACCTAAAGGTTTTCGTTACATGTGAGCTTGAGTAATGCGCACAGAAGAGCAACAACGAGAGAGAGAGAGTGTTACATTGCATAAAAGAAATCTGCTCCGGCAGCCATGTGTCCAAAGTTGTCGACCTTACCTATCACAAGCAAGAAGCATGATAGATAGCTATTAGCAATGAAAATCTTTAATTTCATTCAGAAAGTTCTCCGTAAAAAGTTATGATCCATAGAAGAAAAACTGAAGTCAACAACACATAGCTTATAAAGTATGTACCTTGGAGATATGTACCCCAAGACTCCTATGAATTCCTGAACATTGCAGGCAGATGAATATTCCAAGGTTGATGCTCGCCCACCTCGGGGCCCTGATATATAAAAACATCATAAATTATTAAAACGCGATTAGACTAACAAGTTGAATGAAAGGAACATGATTTATCATAGGAACACCTTGAAAGACTTATATAGATACAGAACTGTCCATACAAAATATACGATCAATAGACGCGAACATGGTGGAAAGTGCATTTCTAGCTCATTTCATAACCTATTACAACTCTAGATTATCATCATATACCATTAATTGCTACAATCTGGTTGCAGAAAACGCACCTTCCCCGACAATCTGCACATTCCCTATTTTCTGGAAGCTTAAGAAGGCCCTCCAATATCTGCAAGCAGTGAATAACACACACTAAGCTAGAAAATCACACATAAACTGCAGAAAAAACCAATACCGCCAATGTGAGACTTTTTGTTTTTCTTTAACAACACATAAAGTGCAGACACCCAGTGCTTAGCAATCTGGTGCAGGGATAATTTTAATTTTTGGGGCCCATCATTGGGTGAGATGAGCCCTACTCTGAAATCATGTTAAATTAGATCTTAGCCAAACTCACGTTCCAAAAGGAGGAGGATTGGTCAAGCGAGTCCACATTAACCGCCAATGTGAGATTCTTTTAACAACTATTGACAAAGAATTTGATTTAAAAAAATTACTACTACCAAATCTAATTCCTCGATAAGGCAGATAAAATTGGGCATAATTTATTCTAATTCTTCTCCTTATGAATTGTATATGATTCGCAAATTGTAAAATTCAAAGTAATCAACACACAAAGCTACAAATAAACAGGGCTGATGATTAACCCTATACTTTCGTCTCGAAACATAAACTCACTAAAATTGCAACATAATATAGAGAACGTAAAATATTGAATCCATAAAATTTAAATCTCGATGATCCGCAATTCCACATAGATAGAAACAGAGGATAATCATTACCTTAGCATGTTTGGCATTAAGCTCCTTAGAAACGGAAGCCTTGTCGTTCATGGCTGCTGATTAATTTGTTACAAAAAAAAAAAACAAGGCCTAAGCAACAAGAAAGAAAAAGAAAAAAAAAGAGAGAAAAAAATAATAATCTCCCTCTCTAGAAGATGTGGTGTGATGTAATATCTATTTTTTTTTCATCACACATTCAAAGGAAACAGTTTTTTTGCATCCCCATAAAAACGCGCTTGTTTTTCTAACGGCAACTCTAATCTTAACCCATAAACTCCAATCTCTCTCACACAACAAGCACGTATTACAAATATATCCATTATTTTGTTTACGTCAAATCATATTAATATAGTGCTCATCTATTTCATATTATATCTACCTGATATTACATATTTTTTTAAAAAAATTAATAAGAAATGTATTTTTGAATTTTTATGTTTGACTATATACTTTACATAGTTATACTTAATTTTGAAAATATATTTCTCTCTTACCATATATTTTAGGACTACTTAATTATTAATTTTCTTAATATGTCTCGCTATATATTTTTAGAATTCTCTAATTATTAGCTTTCCGAATACCTCTTACCTTATATTTTAGGACTATTTAATTATTAACTTTCTAATACGTCTCACCATATATTTTTTTTGGAATTCTTTAATTATTAACTTTCATAATACCTCTTACCATATATATATATTTTTGACTCCGTAATTTTTAAAAGAGAAAAAAGACAAATATAACTCATACTATCGTAAATGGTATGCAAATACCCTTCGTTATACTTTTGGGACATTGGTGCCCCCTGCCGTCCAAAAACTAGAGCATATATACATTTTATACTAACGGACATACACGTGTCATAATCTTATCCGTCGATTAAATATCGGATCGACGGGATAAGATTGCGGCACGTGTCCCTATTTAGTCTTCTGTTAGAGTGTAGGGCATATATGCTCTGATTTTTAGATGGCATGGGCATCAATGTCCCAATAGTATGACGAAAGATATCTGCATACCATTTACGATAGTTCGGGGATATATTTATCCTTTTTCCCTTTTTAAAAAGTATTTTCTTCTTATCGTATATTTTAAGATTACTTATAATTAATTCCCATAATGCCTCTTATCTTATTATATTTATATTTTAGAAAGGCGAATGGACTACCGTACACTCTACTGTGCATTTTAATTGCATTAGGGGAATTTTCAGTATTTTTTTGAAGAATAAGGACATGTGTGAATGCGGTAGACATGACAGCTAGTACCACCTCTATAAATAGGCATCAAAAAGCCTTGTTACTCACTCTTGTTCTTTATCCTCATCGAGATGATTAAAGGAACTCAGAATTTTTTATTTCTCCAAAAGTCGGCTATGGAAAATCATCAACTCCTCGGGTATACAACTTCTGTTTTCCCCAAAAAATTTGGAATTTTGGGTCTATTGACATTTTAATTTACTGATATTTATTTTATTAAAGGCGAAAGATGAGAAAAAAGAAGAAGAAGTGGAGATGTGGATCGCAGTGGGCCCTATAGTAGAATATGTTAAGTCATACAATGGTGATTGTTGTGTGACTGGATATCATGAGAAGCGACCCTTGAAGATCCTATTCGCTATAGGGAGACTATTCATAATTTTATTGGTGAATCCCTAGCAGATAAGTTGGGTTGTGTTTCATATCCAATCAAGCCTCGAACTGTTAATAACTCAGCTTTTGGGAAACTAGTCACTTCTAGAGCATGCAAAAACTTTCAATTCTCAGTGCAAGGAGTTTTGTTTAATGTGAAATTTTGTATCTACTTCCATTGTCCTCAAATTGTGAGATTGTATTAGGAAACCAATGGATGTGAACCCTTGAGAATTTTACCGTTGAACATAACGGTGTGGTGTTTTACTCCGGAGGTAAGAAACACTACGTGCATTTCAATGAAACAGTTGATGAAGATGAAGGCAGCAAGCTATGAGAGTCCATTGAGTTTTACTATATGTTTTTGCGGTTTTTAGGGTTGATCTCTTCCTCAAACCTCCCATTATGTTTCTATAAGATAATATAATAGTGTGTGGATTTAAGCTATAGTTTTTACTTTCACCAATATTCTATTTATGCAGAGGATTTACTTATAATCATCCTCAGTTGATTGTCGTCTACTGCAATTTATGAAGTCTTGAGTTTTTCCTGAGTTCTTGCATTAATTGGTATTGCCTCTAATGAGACATGGAAGCACTTGGAAGGAAATTCATATTGAACTTGTGAAAGTCATATATGAGTTCGATTAAATGGAGTTTATGGACTAAGCCACCATCTAGCCGGAAAATTTGAAAGTAGAAATATTTATTAGTGAATTTGTTCGCGTTTTATGCATTATAAGTAATGGTAAAACATCAATATAGTTTTATTAAATCTAATACAGATAAAAGAGAAAACATTAAGTTAATAGTTAGCAGGCTTCTAATAAAGTTATGCAAAAGTTATAAGTTACTATATTGATACAAATTTCTTTTTAATAAACTTACAAAAATTGAAAATTCATATAAATATAAAATAATGAGAAATAAGATAGATAAATAAAAAAAATGCAAAATTATCTATTCAACCTTCATCATTAAAAAACCGAAGAAAAAAACGAAATCAATGCATAATTTTATGAGATTTCATCGATATTCATTCCAACAAACATATTACCACTCAATAAACTTCGTCTTTATTCTTCAGCTCAAATTAAAGCATGAACACAATAAGCATCAATAACACAACACAATAGGAGAAAAAAAAAATTATACCTGAAGAGTTGATGAGTTTGATCTATAGCCGGTAGACAAATCTTTCTCTTCTTTCATTGAAGTCAATTCGTTAGGTTCATCCAACTTTTCATGTTTGACCTTCACTTTCTTCATGTCAATGACAACATCTGAGTTTCTTTTAACCATCTCAATGAGGAAAAAGAAGAGTGAGTAATAGGATTTTTCGACGTCCATTTATAGCTGTCATGTTCACCGCATTCACGCTTGTCATTGTTCTTTGAAGATAACCTTTCATCTTTTTCTTTCCATTTATGTCAAAATAGTTCTCATTGAACAATACCAATTTTTCCTTCTTTTTTCCCTTAAAAATGGATCTGTTAATTTAAATCATTCTAAATCAATATCTTTGACCCCTATAGAATTGTGGATTAGATGTAAGTTTTATCCGAAATAAGGTAATTATTAATTCAAATATCAAATTTTTTTAAAAAATGATAATTAATAAATTATGTTCCTAAAAATAAATTTGTTTAACAAGAACTAAATAAAGAAATAACAAAAGAGTAATTTGAAAAAAATTCAACAACATCATCTAACCGATAAATCAAAATTAATGTTTCATTGCATTTAAGTAGTGAGAGAAACAGTTAATATACATAAAGTTGAGTGAAGAACACCACATGAAATCGTTAATATTTCAAGACTAAGGGTGTGTTTGGTATGAAGGAAAACATTTTCCGGAAAATGTTTTCCAATTTTCTCATGTTTGGTTGGGCTAAATGTTTTGGAAAATGTTTTTCAAATCAACTCATTTTCCTCAAATTTAAGGAAAATGACTTCCCTTCAAAACTTATGGAAAACATTTTCCAAAACTCTCTTTCAACTTCAAACCTACCCCCAACCATCCCCCCTCCAAAATAAATAATTTTAAGTTTGATTTCAAAAAATATTTCAATTTCATTTTTTTCACCCTTACCCTTGACCCCCCAACCCCCCTCCTACCCAGCCCCCCACACCCACCCACCCCT